ACAATCACTCCAATCACTTGCGTTTTGTTTAGACAAGTTTAGCGAGTCCAAATTATGTGCATGCATTTGCAAAGCGATTGATGTGAATCTGCAAATCATTTCCTGTATATATCTTCTGCATTATCCGCGAATACAAAATGTCCGAGAAATCTTGTCCGCTTCTTAGTCTCTGAACGCACTCTGGACAGATTGAAAAGACTGCAAAATAACTTCACTGCTAGAGTTGAACTGCCAACACGGCCTATCTCCGTTACGAATCTGCAAGGGTGTACAATCACGATTCATGTTATTTTCTCATGCTCCAAGACTGTCCCAGATACAAGATATCAAGGCAAAACCTTTAACCAAGAGTAACACCGGTGCAAGCCAAAATTACGGGTGAATATCGAATTACAACAGACAGTGAAGTTCATACTAGAGACAACATTGCAGATGTAGACATATTTCAAGCGAAACAAAAGAAGATGAAAGATAAGACTACCTGAATAAGTAAATTGATATGATCTCTCTCTCTCTCTCTCTCTCTCTCTCTCTCTCTCTCTCTCTCTCTCTCTCTCTCTCTCTCTCTCTCAGGGTTGCCAGATAAAAAACGTCATTTTATGCCAAACCATCACCCAAAATATGCCAGAAAATTGCCAAATAAAGTGTAATATTGTACTCACTTCACATCAAAAGCTGTAGATTGAATTCTTCACTATCATCCTCACTGGAACCAGTGGAAGATGCAACATAAACCTTTTCGGATGTAAAATCTTTAAGCATTTTCTCAGATGGAATGAAGTCTTTGCAACATTTTTATAATAGTTCTGCTCTAATTCTGAAGACTGCATCAAGAAAATCCAGTTGTATTTTGTTTCTTGATTTTGATTTAGTTGAAGTAACAAGAGAAAATATTCTCTCAACTACAGCATTGCTAACGGTCATTATTAAGCAAGTAAGGGCGATAGTGGCCAACTCTTTAAATGCCTGGTGTCGAAGTACGCCTATCCAAAAATCTTCCCTGTTTGTAGGTAGTCCATCCTTCTTAAATGTAGCTTCTTCTTTCCAGTTAACAACAATCAGTTTTCTGTACTGCTCTTCTATAATATTGATGTTGTTTTCTGCCAGGTGTAAAAATGGTAGCTCTGAAAACTGTGTCCCTAATACTTGATTTAAAACTGCCAAAGGGCTCAATTTGACAGATTTTGAAATATATTCTCGATGCGAAGTCTACACGTAATTTGATTGAGAGCTTCCTCTAGCACAGACATGCATTTTTCATCAACATTGTTTATTTCTATCTGAACTTCAGTCCTGTTATTCGTCTGTAGGAACGAATTACATTCCGGTGGGAATTTAATTCCAAAGTCAACGTGATGAAAAAACTTTTCTGCTCATTGACGTCTCACAGTCTGTTCTTAAGACTTTTCTGGTGCATGGACAATTCTTGGTGTAGTTCATGAGGATCAGCTTTTGTTTGTTGAAAAAGGTGTTCAGTCTTTCAAATTCTTGTACTATTGGTGTCGCAAACACAAAGTACAAATAATTATTATGGTATAACAGAATATCCTTTAACAATCTTACTTTATATTTTGTGTCAAACGTTGTCTGTGCTAATTCAGCACATGTGAAATAGGCTTTCAATTCTTCCCAGTTCACCAACATACTGAAAATAATCTTCTCACGCAACAAGCCACTTAATAGATGACAGTTTCTCAAATGGAAAAGGAGCAGTTGGTTCTGATTCAAACTCCGTAGAGGTGCTCATCACTCTAAACAGTTCGTTATAGGCTTCTCCTCTTAAATCACTATGACAAAACCACTGAGGTATTTTTGACAGTAAGGAACCAATATTTGATGGCGAAGGAGACACATCTTTAATTCTGGACCATGAAGAGTTCTTGCACCCGACCATGTTTGAAGCGCCATCTGACGCAAACCCAATGCAGTTTGTAAGACTCTGACCACACCTTTTGATTTCCTTATCAATCAAATTAAATAAGTTTTCGCCTGTAGCCACTTGCAAGGAAATTAAAGCAAGAAATCCAGTAAATATTTAATTTTTCCTGTCACTAAAAAAAACTAACTATAACGCACAAGTACTTTTGAGTGGAAACGTCAGTAGACTCATCTATAATTATGGCATATTTCTTGTTCCGAAAATCATCAGTAAGGTCATTCTTAAGTGCATGCGATATAATATTTCTTATTAAGCATAAACATTTAGTTCTATGCAACTGTATGTGCTCCAATGTACTCCCCTGACTATGCGCTCTCGTGATTTCACTTAGATGATCAATTGTGCGTATTGCACAATGGCAGGTCATGCTTACAGCAAGTCGCAACTTTGTTGCTTTAACTTTATCATTACTTTGCCTAGGAGTTTTTTGTTGTAATAAGCTGTGACTGGCTTTTTGACGGAGTTTTCATCCTGTGTTTTTCGGATTTTTCATGATTTGAAATGCTACTAATTCTTGGTGTAACAGTGCACTGACACAGTTTACAATATGCTGCCTCTGATCCGTCTGAAGATCTTTTGAGCCATAAGTATGTTTTCTGCCAAATACTATTATACTTGCGATTGCTGTCATAAGATGCTTTACATTTTTTGGATGACGTGGCCATTGGAAAAAGTAATAAAATCTATCACAGATAGAACTAGGTCTATATCCTATCTATTTTCTGTCCTCAAGTAGTTTCTGAACAGTCTGAATCACTTGGTATCAGTGGTGGGTTTTCGTTTTAAATTTCGCATTTATTATAGTAAATTAACATAAATTACAGAGGTTTATAGCAGTCACGATCCGTTTAAAAAGACAACAAAACAATAAGAAATGGCGCGAATCTCCGTTAGTCCGTACCAGGACATCACAACAAAGTCAAACTGAAATAAAGATTTTAACTGCAGGTCTACATTGCTTTTAGTAAATTTGCGTGTTTATAACAGAGGAACCATGAAGAAAATGTGAGCACATCTTGATAAGAAATGCCAGGAAAAACCCAAATATGCCAGAATATGCCAGTTCATTATCTTATGCCAGTTCAATTTCAAATATGCCAGATTTGTGGAATCTGGCATAAAAAATGCCAATATGGCAACCCTGACTCTCTCTCTCTCTCTCTCTCTCTCTCTCTCTCTCTCTCTCTCTCTCTCTCTCTCTCTCTCTCTCTCTCTCTCTCTCTAGGGTTGATTCTGTATGATCACTAAATGATGTCTTCGATATATTTGTCTTTTCATAACTAATTATAGTCCGATTTTTGATGTCAACATGTTTCGGCACCTAATCAGTAGTTATGCCAACTCAGAGGGGAGATTTTCTTTATGATTTATAGCCAGACTTCACTTCTTTGTGTTTCAGCTGGTACACACTATATAAAACGAAATCAATAACAGTAAATGATACACATTTAAAATTAACAAGCGAATTTAAATACCAGAGTCAACATCCACATGAGAAGGAAGAATGGATAGAGAATTCAACACACGATGTACTAAAGCAGACCAGGCTTGGGACAACCAACAACGTTTTTGATACATAGAAGTATAGGTAATTCTTGCGCGGTCCAGACTTTATATTTCACAGCAACCGCCAACGATCATAGAACAATGTTACGTCTAAAGGGCTTGTAGATATTTGTACATGTGGGATTCTCATCCGTAAGTTTTTAATCCTGCGGACAGCAATCCTAGAGGGGACCAACTGCAACTGCAGTATATCTTTGACTACCAAGGTAAATATAATACTTCGGACCCAGAATAAAGGATTAGCCTTGCAGAATATTTAGCTTCGAAGTTGTTTCTGCTTCCTATAGCGTTTTGCTAATGTAGTTTTCACAAATGTACGGAAGTCTACGGTTTCGCTGCCTGAGCTACTGTTTATTGCTTGGTACAGCTACGTTTTCCATGTAGAATACCTGTCATCTGTGCTGCTGTTGTGTCACGGTATTCAAAATGACTGGTAGTCGGTTTACGGGTGGCTGGTGAAATGCCTTAGGTAATAACTTTACGTGCGTATAGCCATCATTTTTAATCATGTTATGAGAAGAGGGAAAATGAAAAAAGTCGTAACCACTGGAAAGATTTGTAAAAAGAGAAACAGCGGAAGACAGCGCAAGAACATTCTTGTCAGTCTGTTGTCAAGGCCTGGAGGGATCTCAATACAAAAACTGATAAACGCAGTTGCGGATCACAGACCGCGGAGAGGTATGATCACTCACGCAAGTCGGTAAGGCACTTGACGAGGATGATGACGGCCATCTTTTTTTTTTACCGAGTATTTCCATCAAAGACAAACTGCATTTCTGGTGGCGAATGTTAGCTTTGGCGTCTCTAGCAACTGCCATATGCATTTACTGCTTGTGCATATTTCTGGATTGTGCCGAGACATTTGTGTGTTCACCAGTTTTTCAAATGGGACAGTGAGGGAACATTTAGTTTGATTTTTACTGGCACAGGAACTGAACAAGAATGGGATGACCCGACTGCAGTGAATTTGAAAACTCGACGAAGACTAAGCAAGACTATCAAATAGGAACAAACTTTTGGACATCTTTATGATACGACTGTGAAACCTAGACCATTATTGAAACTAATAAGCGCACAATCACAACAACAAAGATCAGGTGTCATAGAAAAGCGGCCGGAGTAACGAAAAAAAAGATGAATTTAAAATAAAGACATTAGAACCTATGATACAGTTTATTAAAGATCAACAGATATGGTGATTTTTTCATCTGCCTTGGTAATAAATGCCACAGTGAGGCGCACTGAAAAAAAAAAATCTAACGGACACAAAGCCACTTGATGATGATGCTGATGAGAATGATGATAATGAAGATGATAATGACGACGATGACATAAGAAAACGTACACAGCTAAAAGCTTTCAAATTCAAAAAAAAAAAAAAAAAAAAAGACATAAGTTTCCTGAAACATTTACGCATCGACATTGAACAGACATTTGCACCATAAAAACAGTTCATTAAAATAGACAGAACCTAGAGAGTTCACAGGAGCTGACAATGAACCTTTCTCGATTTTTGACTTTTGGCATTTCTCCTTTCTTTGGAGTATTATTTGCTGGCCGAGACTTGGCCAGAGGTAAGTCTTTTTAACTATATTAGTATTGGTTATCTTACCATGCGTTTGTTGATGTCTACATACATGAAAAAACGTTTTAAACATGTTGTCACAATTTTTTATGTCTATGCTAACTGTGCCGATTCTAGGCTTCAGTGTGTCGTTTTATAAGTGTTCATTCTGAATGATTGTAATTTGTGTACAACGTGTCTGTTGCTGTTGCATACAGGACTATGTTGCCTTTGAAATTTTGTTTTCCTTTTCTATCTTTTTTTTTTAAAAACTACCTCAGTACTTTGCATCCGTAATCGTGGTTAAGCCATTTGTATCCACATTACTATTAATACGTTTAAGCAGTAAAAATACTCTGCATAAAAAAAAAATTATGTTGATATAACTCTGCAGTAACGCACCTGATGAGTTACAGCGAAATATGCCTGGCAATAAATTATTTGTATCCGCATTATTTAAACTCTGCAATAATGTTTATTAAATGACTTTAATTAGATGTTGTGTGTGGCCCTCATGAAAATACTCGGGGAGCACTCAGTTTATCATGCCTTCTCTATGGTGAATTGAAGCTGGACAGACAGTATCGATATCAGTCTCAAAAACGATGTAAAGATCTGTGCAAAATGGGATATAAATGATGCATATATTGAGTAGGCTTCTTGGCAACAGGATGGCATGGACCATACAGAGGGAGAAAAGGAGAAAAGAAATATGGCTACAGGAAAAGAAAAGACTACGGATAGGTTGAGAAGAACAAGCGGCTGAAAAGAAGAATATAAAATGTATGTTACTTTTATGGCAATAATGGTCCGTGAATCTGATGCTCTGATAGTGAAAGATTTTTCTAATCACACTCGTCATCGACACATAATTTGATTCACATGTATCCCTATAGGACAACATAACACTATCGTCTGGAAAGATGCCAGCCAGCCAAAAAACAATTATTAAAAACCGCTAATGTATCACGCTTAACAACACAATGTAGTATCATGTAAAAACACAAATAAAGCGATCGGTTAGGAAACCAGATTTCTAGATATACTGTGATCAGATCCTAAAAGTTCGAGTGCGTATTATGTGATGGTGGGGATGCAGCAGAGATGAGTTAAAAACGAACCACATGTTATGCAGTATATTGATACATAAATTGTTGGGGGAACCATTGATAACTTTAATATAGCTTAGTAAACAAACTGTCACGCATTGATTGACAATATCTAAAAAAAAAAGGAGACACTCAAAGAATTAGAAGAAAAAGCAGAAACTAGAGCACACACTAGACGAAACATTTTTTTTTCAGTATAGCCTTTACAGATGTCACAGGTAAAAAGTAGAGATTGGAGACACACTAAAAAAACTCAAAACTGGAATGTTAACATCTAATCTGGCTTTCATAGATGTAAAGGAAAGAATCTGAGATTTGAGAATACACTAGACAACATAACAATTGACAGTCTAGATATCGTAGATATGTAGGGAGAAGCTAGAAATTATATAGTGAATTAGACAACAGAAACAGCGAAAATTTAAACTCAATTTCATTCTGTTCTTACTGTAAATGTTTTCAACTTAAAGAAGTTATCTTTAAGGGTAATACAACATTTGGGGTTGGAGTGGTTAGAATTGTAAAACTCTGGACAGAAAGAGTCTAAATGATAATTTGGAATACAATTTCACACTTATTTGTATATGAATTTCGGCAGGATGGGGTGACAACATAACATGGCTGCAATTGCAGGACGCGTTGCAAGAAGCACAGATAGTCCAGAAACCAATGATGGTCATCGTACATAAAGAAAGCTGTCCGGTCTGTGCTCGAGTAAAGCCACTCTTCGCGTCCCATCCTGGTATCAACAAATTAAGCCAGCATTTTGTGATGGTCAACCTGGAGCCCGATGAAGTCCCTCGCACGCCAGAGTTTGAGCCTGATGGCGCTTATGTTCCCAGAATCTTATTTTTCAGCCACGATGGAAGAATTTTTAGAAACATCATTGGCAAAGAACCCAGAAATAAGTACTTCTACGACGATATGCGTCTTTTGGAGAACAATATGAAAAGGGTGTTGAGGCAGTATAGAGAAGTTCAACATCCATCTGATGCTGCTCAATAGCTTTGTGTCGTGACAAAAGTTAGGCATCGCTAACATCCCATTATCTTCTTCTTCCTAGTCGTCTTCCTTATCATCATCATCATTTCGTTATCATCAACACCATCGATATAATCATCATCATCGCCACAATCATCAACATCATAATCAGTATCATAGTCATCACAAAGTGTCGTAGCAAGTGGCATACACGGTATCACTTCACCACATCCATGAGACATTTCCTATACTGACACCTTTATGTTCAATTACAAAAGGTTGTCAATATCTTCTCTTTATGAATTATTGTATTTCTCCCTCTGTAAAAGGCTTCCAGTTTTCCTAATAGCTAATTCAGTTTTATTCTGTCATTACGAACAAAACAAATACCTCGCCTTGTCGATGGTCATACGTTGTCTTTCTGTCTTAACTTCATTAAGAATATTTGTATCACCTATATAGGCTGTCCAGGGTATTGGCATTATTCTTCTGTACAACCGCATCTCTGGGGATTTATGCTTTTTTACTAGTTTTCCAGAACCATGGCAATTCAATAAACCGGCTTCTTTAACATGTAAGAATTCTTATTTTTACCCCTGAATGCATGATTATATTGTAAGAGATATTCTTCATTTTAAATAGGAGTGTCTCATTTCTATTATGCTCTCTATATGGGAAACATCTCTAATCTCATGTTACACATACGTCTAATTACTCCCAAATCCTTTATTATTACTGTTAATTTTAATTGTATCCGATCTGCTTCTTTGAAAAGCTTATTGGTTGTTTTTCTTCCATTTTTAAAATACAATTCAAAAGGATGTGTTTATAATCTTTAATAAGTACCCCCCCCCCCCCCTTTTCAATAAATCACACATTAGGTAATTTAAATATGGTTTTGCAAACAAGAAATCGTTCTAAATGATTTTCGTTCCTAATCTTAAAATGTATTTTGAAGCACTGTATGTATAATTTTGGAAACACATATATAGACACATGAACAAATTTTATGGAGGAGAGGGAGCTTTCATATCACTTAAGAACTTATAGAAGTCACTAAAAATAAAGTCTAGAACCGAACTTAGAATATTTAATTTCTGTTTCGAATTACTAAAGAAATACCATGAAATAAACTGTTTCAAAAAAAAAAACTTCTTTTTTTCTTCTTCTTTTTTTTCCGTTTGATAGATCTGACAAATTTGTGTGCAGACTGATGGTTCCATGCCTCTCAGGCAGATGTACTCTTATTTTGAAGGAAGCTCCCAATTAGTCGACTCTTACGACATACTTTTGGGTAGGCAGTGGGTCTATTCTTGTTTTTCCCAAAACAGTGCCCCGGAGATAAACTGTAACAAAATGTCAGAATTATTAATGTGCACCCAGAGAACTTGACCGATTACGGCCATACAAGACGCGAGGAAAAGACCAAAGAATCGGAAAAAGCACACATTTAAAAACATATAATGACAGTATAACTAGAATGCTTCTGCACGTGTATCTATAGGGAACCAAAAACAGAGAAAGATGTAAGCATACAAAGAAAAACATTAAAGTTTGAGACGAATAAATTAAACGGAGTTGCAGGAAAGTGACACAGTTTAGGAAAAATCGATACATATTTGAAAATTGATTACCAAACACACACACACAAACGCACACACACACACACACACACACACACACACACACACACACACACACACACACACACACACACAAAACTAACTTTCAGTGCCGTATAAAAGATTATAAATGTCTTCCCAATCTTTTGTCATATCCACATTATAAGAATAGAAGAGACACACATAGCTGTCTGTAAGAGATTCATATACTGTAAATGCTTTTCACTCTCTCGCTCTCTGTCTTTCTCTCTCTCTGTCTTTCTCTCTCTCTCTCTCTGTGTGTCTCTCTCTCTGTCTGTCTCTGTCTGTCTGTCTGTCTGTCTGTCTCTCTCTCTCTCTCTCTCTCTCTCTCTCTCTCTCTCTCTCTCTCTCTCTCTCTCTCTCTCTCTGTTAACGTCTACCGATCCGTTATTCAAGAATCTCAGAAATAGATAAGAACTTACTTCAGATTCCATACGGCTGCGGGTGTAAAGGTGTGTCTGAAGTCCATCGCCGCTAAAAATTCATGCGTGACTCCAGGGTGTTGGCGCGAATCATATTCTGTAACATGATTATGTCGTTTCAGGTGAGAGAACAGTATAATGTGTATAATGAACTAGTGAAATATTATACAAATAAACACATTAAAGACAGTGGTATATTTAGTGTTTGTAGAAAAATGAAGATATCCTGGGAACCGACTAGAATAAAAGAGTGTTTATTTTTCGACCAGTGTACTGACTGAATGACATTCTACCCCACCAGGACATCACACAAGCGATAAATACCCGATGACACAAAGTGCCACCATGTGGATGAGGATTGCCGTGGAGAGGTCCCAGAAACCGCGTTCAGACAATTGGCCATATTTATGGCCTGCCTATAGTGCGGCCCCTGGCAAAAACCAGGGTAGGGCTTCAAATTACAAAAAAATTTCGACCTTAAAAGGACGAAATCTATGGTAATACATTCGACCAGTGTAGAAACAAAGTCTATTTTATACATCCTCAAGTGGATAAACAACAGACTTAATAATATGGTCATGTAACAGATAGGCCATAATAGAGGGCAATGATATACAGATACAACGGTAACCGATTTAGAGATCGGCTACGCAGATGATGGATCACGGATATCTCGAATACATTGAAAAGTACCCTATGGAAAGCGAAAGGAAGGGCGCGTTCCAGAGGTTTCTTCCTGCCATTATGCTGCGAGCATTCCAGAAATAGAGAAAAGAAGCGAAGAAGAAAAATAAGAAGAAGAAGAGAAAGAAGAAGAAGAAGAGGAAGAAGAAGAAGAAGAGGAAGAAGAAGAAGAAGCGAATGATGAGAAGGGTGTGAATAATGACTACTTCTTTCTGGTTTTGTGACGTTTTCTTAGTTTCTTAGTTTTCATTGTCCCAAAATGTAAATTATGCGTTTTTACAATCCAATAAATTCAGAAACAATGTTTTGCCTTTGTAGATGTAAATAATGCGGACACAAACAATAAATAGCACAATTTATTATGGTTTATGGGTGATTTACCACACAATGAATAGGTGATTGCTGAAACTTGCGGAAGTTGTGACAATTAAGATAAGGAATACCTCGTTTTGCAGATAAAAAGGGCATGCGATAAATTGTAAACATATACGAAAACAACGCGGCTGATCTTTAATTTCCGAGTGCGAAAGGCGCAGTGTAACTAAAGATATGGTGATTTGTGTATTTCAAAAGCGTCTATCTCTAAAACAAGATCTTTGACTTGTTCAGTTCTTTTTCAGGATTTACTGCAATATGTTAAAACTGGTTCTATGTAAAATGTTAGAATTCTTCTCCTGATTCCAAAAGAATTTTAACGCTTTCAATTGAAAAAAAAATATCAAAGGACAGCTGTGGGTTGGGAACATATATCCACTGCCGCAAATGCAAATTACAGTCACAACCCATTACAATTAATAAAATAAAAAAACATTAAAAAAAATCTGTGTTCCTTATTCAGTTAGTATTCTTTTTTTTTTTTCCTTAACAGTCTCTGCATAATATTTATACAGACTGACTGACTGACTTTCTACCCCACTAGGACATCACACAAGCGATAAACACCCGATGACACAAAGTGCCACCATGTGGGTGAGGATCGCCGTGGAGAGGTCCCAGAAACCGCGTTCAGACATTGGCCATATTTATGGCCTGCCTATATTGCGGCCCCTGGCAAAAGCCAGGGTGGGGCTTCAAATAATAAAAAATACGACCTAAATAGGACGTAAGGATTTGACGACGACTAATATTTATACATATTTTTTTTTTAAATTTTATTCGCCTCATTGTATTAAACAAATTTCAGATTTATATCATTAAATATTCTCAATGAATAGTTAAAACGAAATGACTATTAATTACAAAATGTCAGAAAAAGTCTTACTTGTGTAAGCGGGTAGAACCTCCCTTGATACATTCATCTGGTTTCCGTACAGAAATGCTGGGAGCCAGTCTTTAACTAGTATTTTCTGAAATAGAAAAATTAAGTGTTTGGTTGACTTGTAAACTCTAAGAGTCAAACTGTTAATTGAAAAAGAACATGGCGGATAGTTCGGATATCTGACGAGAATGTCATGATACCAACTGTTACAATTATTGAGCAAGTAAATTAGGTTTACCTCCCTTATGCCCTTTGCCCCCAGAAAATTATAAAGGGGCTGAGCACTCACTCCCATTCTCCCTCTACTGCTCTCCTACATTTTCTTTATCATGCGCGCCCGTTATATGAGACAGAACAAGTTTACGTAATAATTAGGACAAAAATATTAAAATAAAAGAAACATTTTTTGACTAGAAGTTAATAACATCTTGCTTTACATAATCAATACATGTAGTAGTAAATAGAATTGGTTATGGATGTTCAGTATAAAGATTTTAGAATTCATAGCTTGGTGATTGTGGGTAGTGGTGAGGGAGGAGTGGGAAGGGAGGGAGGAGTGGGAAGGGAGGGAGGGGGCTCAGGGAAACAAATGAGAAAATATTTGCAGACACAAGTTAAGAGCTGAGGGTGCGAGAAGAATAATGATAAATACATGTGACAGTATCAGTGGTCCTGCAATATTGATTCTTTCTAAAACCAGCGGGTCTTTGCTAACCTCACTCTCCATGGTCACATTCCTCTTCATAATATGGAAAGGAAACAACAAAAATAGATTTTTAGTGTTACTTTTAAGACAAGAGGGCACTTTATTTTAATTCACCTCAAACAAAGAAAATCACAGATTTCAGGAAAAGTTATTGCATGTTAATGGTTGGGGCTAGAGTTAGGGCTTGGATTAGAGTTAGAGTTAGGGTTAGAGTTAGGGTCAGATTTATGGTTAGGTATGGGGTTAGGGCTAATTCGTGCATCTGAGGCGGTCGGAGCTAACAAAGGTCCTAAACGTAACCCTAACCATAA